AAGTGGAGGTGGGCAAAGTGTATCATTTTTGGGATTGGAACATTTGCATCTTGATCACTGAAATGTTCCGAAACACTGATATGTTTCATTTGGCTCATTTGTATCATCGACTCAAAAGATATAAAAGAAAGAATGTTCCCAATACATTAAGTTGCGTCGCGGGCGTTTATTACTGACTGATCCGTGAAATGTTATGTGGCAACAATGCTGAATAATATAAGTGCTTAGATTATTTATTGTGTACCGTAATAAGATTGTATATAAAATCGATTCTCCTTCATACTTTAACAAAAATGTCACTATGTCCGATTCATTATTTACAAAAATGTCCATTTACACAAAACAGCAATGTCTATCTACACAGAATTTACTCGTAAAGTATCATAACTCTAAACTTTATGATAAAAAAGAAGAAAGTAAAGTCCCAATAATCACTACGCAAAGAAATCCTAAACATAACTCAGTATGTTTTCGTAAACAGGCGCTAATGAATATAAACAATTTGACAAGTGCCGCATCAACGTAAAATGACAAGTTGTTAATGCAAATGTTACATACAAAAAACGACCGTATACTATTTGACACATAAGCGCCTTAGTGGTAATTTTTACGTGCATGAATAACGTCAGCGAAAATCCGTACGTTGAGTGATACACTTCTCATTTGTTATCTCTATCTGACTTGTGTGAATTATAATTATTTCGCCCGCTCACTCGCCACTCGTGAGTCAATAGTTAAGTTAATCATTGTCTCAGTCTCTCTCTCTCTCTCTCGCTCGTGACTCAGTCGCCTCGCAAGCGACGCGTCGCGCGAAATGAGCAAAGAGCAAAGTAATGTTTCACTGTTCCAGATACAAATGATACATTTGAAACGTTGTTACTGAACCAATCTTTTGTGTCACTTCAGTGATTCGTATCAGTGAGTCGTTTCCCTAAAGAGATACACACGCCTACTCTCTGCTTGAGAGCCTCAAGCAATATAGTAACCGCTGTTTACAAGATCAATAGCAATCATTGTTTTGACTTCAATTTCAAAAATAGTTAAGAAACCTATTAAAAAAGGCTGATCTTAACAAATACAATATTTTATCAAAATTTCAATACGGGTTTTGCAAAGGAATTTGCAACTTAAGACACAATTCTAGATTTTATCACGGAAGTCGACAAGGGAAATAATTGACTTACGATCTTTCTAGACCTTAAAAATGCCTTTGACACCGTTTTTATATTTGTTCTTGTTACAGTTACAGGTTAGAGTGCATTGAGATCAGGAGGATTGTGCTCTCTCTTTTTAATAGTTATCTTCATGATAGAAACCAAACAGTAAAAATATTATTGATAAATCCAATTGTGCATGCCTTAAGCGCATTAAAAAATTACGTATAACACTGTTATACTTTTTTTTTCAGTAGTATAAATACACACAAGTTTTCACTAATAACCTTACTTCCAATTTTCTGATATCTTTATGTCAAACTTCAATAAAAATATTTGGAAAATCAAAAAGTGCAGGACTCACAATGCCCAACGATAGTGAAAAATTTTAAGAAAAAATTGGAAATTGTAGTTCTATTCGTCAATGAGTTCCAGTAGCAGTCAACCAAGTACACCTTGAAGTCAGTCCGTCAAGTCCAGAGGTAAGGTCTCATCATAACTAACAAACCGAAGCAAAACTCGGCACATCTAGATTTCCTCGTCGAGGAGTTCCAGTAGCAGTCATCAAAGTACATTTTCAAGTCACTCTATCAAGTCCGGAGTTAAGGTCTCATCATTACTAACAAAACGAGCTCAAACTCGACACATCTAGTTCTCCTTGTCGAGGAGTTCCAGTAGCAGATACCGACACACCTTCAAGTCTGTAAAGTCCAAGAAGTATTAGTATATTTATATAATAATTATACGTGCTCTTAGCGAAACAATAAATTGTAATAAAAACGTGTGATTATAAAAATAATAATAATATCTTACCTTAGTCAAGTATATATCAAATTTGGTTTTTGGAATATTTTTTATTTCTACGGTGATCGATATTTTTCTACACGAGCCGCTGTAGCGAACGACCACTCACGACGGCATTTGAGCCCGAAGTAAATAAAGTACTCTGTGGCTATGGCTCGGAGTGAAATAAATTAATACAAGGCTCTCAAACTACCGAAAATTTCACCATTTCTTAGGAGAAAAAATTTAATTATAACTAAACAAAACAAAATTAAACTGCTATTTACATTACATGGCTTCCCACATGATAGATGAAGTGTTTTAAAAATAGATTGAGTTGAACAATTGATATTTTCAAAATTTATCGTGTTTATGCCGCCAAGCGACTTGGTAAATCCACACCATATGCCACTAAAACCCCTTTTTATGTAAAAATAGTAATTAATCGATTTAAAAAAAAATTAATAAGTTCGACAATAATTTATCTATTTATCTCACAATGTGCTTTTTATCATTTATATGCTTAATATGATTGCTAGATACGATGTCAAGCGACAAAACGTTGGAATATTATTTTTTAGGTCCTAGCAGAACATACCTGCGCGCTTCGCGCTTCAGGAATGTTAACTATTACATCCCGCTCCATTAGTCACAAAGATACCGTTAAATTTGGTACCCCGCAGGTGAGCGTTCTTCGCCCGACTCTCTTTTTAATTTACTTCAATGAATTGTGTAACAGGACGTCTGAGGAAGGATATTCTCTTATACCCCTATTGTCTTTACTGGTAAGACTTGGAATTCCGCACACGAACTGACTGTGAAGGGCTTAGCACCTGTGTTGAAATGGCTAAGGGATAAAATTTTAACTTTAAATATCAAAAAACGAACCAAATTTGTTTGCTCCTTATACTTCGTGGCAGACAGAAAATAATTTATGTATCAAAATCCACAGCTGCCCAAATCCTGAAATAACCGCGTAAATTAAACCAAACTTGGCAACATTGGCATCATTGTTGATCAAAGTCTTAGTTGGCACTCACAGTTGGTAGTTGTTATAAATTGGATCAGGGTATATAAATCATTAAGATGAGCAATTTCTAGCACTCTATTAAATAAAATGTACATTGCCTAAGCACAATCGATAATTTCCTTTTGTATCCCCATCTGGGGAGAAGCCACCAAGACCAACTTATGTGCAAAAAAATGTTTATGCATTAGTTGGGTACAGTTAATTATAACATTTCAACTATTTTAGTTAAAACGTTTTCAACCTTTTAACTAAAATAGTTTGAAATCAAACTCACCAACATTTTACATTTACATGTAACAGTTATACTCTTTTATATTTGATTACTAAAATTTTATTGTACCAGGCAACTATAGTAAAATTATTTTGTGCGTGCGGGCTAGGGCGGTGAGCATGTTGCGCGGGCGCAACACCATTATCGATAACAACAAATTTAATTTTAGATATAAGTTATTATCTTTATATTTATATTTATCTTTAATATAACTTGTTACATCCAAACATATGTACTTATAGTTTTTTTTTTAATATATAGATACCTAATTAATAATTTATTTTAAATCATTAATATTCTTATTTGAATAAATAAGTTGTTTTATCAAATTTTTTTTTCATTTTTTTCACTAACCCACATAATGACAAAACTAAATACACTATCGATAACGCTTATCGACAACAATAATGCGTATCACTATGCTCGCCCCTAAGGCCCATTAGTGGGAGAGAGAGCGAAATACTCCGATGATTTATGACCCAAACTGCACGCACAAAATAATTCTAGTATAGTCTTCTTACTTACACTTTCTTCATTCACCAACACACAAGTATATACATATAAAGACACATTTCCACACCCACATCCACAAATTCTTCCACAAATACATGTACAAATTATAATTTTTCTAAAAGTTTATAATAGACTTTTTGTAATCTTACTGTCATCCATAAAGGAAGTAGCGGGTCATTCTCAACACTACTATCCTATGGTACACACTGGAAAGTTTCAGCAATATGTTGCAAATAAGATTACCGAAATAAACGGATTATTTATATTTATACTATCATAAATATAAATTTAATATAAAACTAGTAGTAGTAGTAGTATTTGCTACAAAAGAAAATAGATATATAAATACCTTCAGTATTATATTAGAATAGTTTATTTTTGATTTCGTGAGAATATGAAATGACAACTTTGTCCACCTACTAAATTAATTCTTCTAAAGATTTTCATGGCAATTCTCATGATTTGCTTACCTTTTCCCCCTATATACTTTGTTTCAATAAATCTTATTCAGTGTATTAACAATTTAGTAATAATTTTAAAGAGTAATACTAATCTGTTGTCACCAACACAAATTGCTGGATTTTTACTTTACGGTTTTTTACATCACTAACCTAAGGAGCTGACTAGGTTGTTTACGTTTATTTTCAAGGATGTCAAAAATAAACATTTAAATTAATAACAATGTAAGTGTTATTTAGATTGAACTTGGATACTTAGGTAATAAAAATTTTCGAACATTTTATCGATATTTTGTCATTTACTATAATTTTCAGTTCAGTGTTTACATTATTTCATTCATTTTTCGTGGTTAAGTTTATTTATTTATTAAGGATTTTTATTCTAGATTTGTTGAAATAAAAACTAAAGAAAAATTAAAAAAAATTGTAATTATGTTAGATAATAAATTTTGTACGTAAATGTATTTACGTTAATATTACAATTCGTTCAAGATATTTTTGAATATTTACAACTTAAAAAGTAAAGCCAGGTGCAAATTAAATTTGTTTATGGTAATCTGCGCTAATTATAGAATCTAAACCACAATAAGGAACAAATAAAAGTAAACCAATTAACATGTTATACGTGTTTTACTATTATATATTTGTTCCAAATTTAGGCTTTGGATTATTTACGCTCATTGATTGGAAATACAATGATTTATATTTCTTAAAAATAGAATTTGGTATGGTCAAAATCAGCAAAAGTATTACTGTTTGAGCCTTTGTTCTAACTATTATACAATATTAGCCTAACTACTTGTGATAGTTGTTGGATGGACTTCTGTTGATGATCTATGCTCTTGTAGCAAACCTGAAAATTATAATTTTTTTAATTTATTCAGGCTTAACATTAATGAAAGCCATTAATTATTTTTTGAGATTAACATTTTCAATTTTTTTATATAGTTATTAAGTGTTATTTTCTGCCTAAAACTCCCTCTGGGCCACCTATACCTACCTACCTACCCTCTCGCTTATTTCTGCCGCCTTATAGCAGTGCTTGCACTGTTAAATTCCGGTGAAAAGGTTATAAGAGCCAGTTTAATTATTGGCTGTAAAACTGTGAGCCTTCTTTAATTGAAGTCGGCTGCAGGTGTCCATGGACTGCACTAGCCAGTTACCATCAGGTAGACGGTAATTTTTTTATCCCTATAGTTTTATACAATAAAAACTACAACGAAGGAATCATTATCGTTTTCCTTACAAAACTGCTCTGAAACTGTATTTGTATTGTATGTGAAAATAAATAATTGTAATTTCAAAAAATTAACAAATATTACACCATAAACCATAAATAACGGATGTTAATGTTGACTATATTACTATAAGCCACGAATTTAATAATACCTACTTAACATATTATTTTATAATATTACTGTTTGGGTTTTTTTTATAAGATAAGGGTGTCAAACGAGCACACATTCCACCTGATGGAAAGTGGTTGCTGTGGCCCATATACATCTACATCTATCCTCGAATACAAATCAAAATGCAGTTGCGTTGTCACCCGTGAGGACTAAAATGGAATGCCTCGTTTCCAGTTAAAAGTGCCTCCGATTCTCTACACTCACCATACGAAACACAGCTGCGTTCAGCTGCTATTTTACGGTGGTATTCTGTGGGAGCGTGGTCCTTCCCAGGTCGAGCCGGCTCATTCGTGCTACAACTATACCACAAATATAGCTGCAGCATGGCTGTACCGCGTATAAAATTAACGAATTAAAAATGGGAATGGAATGACACCTAATGGACAGCTGTAACTAAATTCAAATAAAGTGGGCTACAGATACTTTACCTTCCCTGGGAATAAGAAAGATTGGCTCAAACTTTGTTATTATACTATATTTACCCTTCAAACCGTAATACAGTAGTGGATGACTGCTGCTTGGCGGTAGATGCGAATGGTTGAAGGCAATCTAGACTAATTGCAAGACGGAAAAGAGTATTGCCACCTTGTAAATCTCTCAAAGGTATCAATAGTATATAACTATAATAGGTAACATATTTACCAGCCTGCATATAAGCAATTAATTAACACTCACATTCAACATGCAAATCCGCAACGGGCAATGTTCCTTCCTCGTTTTTATTACTTTCGCAGGTTTTCATTATTGCATTTAGTTCTTTCTTCTTAATACCTTTGCGATGTTGATTATAAATCCAACTGGAAGTTAATTAAAACATGTCTTAATTTCAATTACAATATTGGTTTATTTGATATAAAAATCTTATCTTTATATTAATCTGTCTCCTGTTTATATTGTTCCATTGTCTGATTACTTCTCCCCCCTTCCCCCATTAAGTGTGAAACAAACAGACTAACAATGATGAAATTATGATTATTTTGGCATGCCGTTAACTTAGTGGTTAGTCATCTAGCAGAGTCTATTTCTCCTGATAATGCCTCGTTTACAAGTGAAATACGTGTCACGTTCGACGGTGATGTGTCTTTCCTAGTGAAGTGGTATTAGGGGTAGTGGAGTTGGAATTTGGATAAGTAGTTACGGGGATATTAGATATATAGAACGATGAGGATAGACACATCATTTTTATTTTTTACGCGGATATTAATAAACTACTTTTCAACCATTTTCAATTACATTAAATTTAGCCAAATCGATTAAAAACTCACCTGAATATAATCAAAGCGGGTATAGAGGATACTATACTAAGTAGAAACACAGCTCCAGGTAAATAGTCAATTGTAGCGATATATACCCTGCTATACAGTGGTGCATATACTACCGGCATTAAAGTTTCCACTACACCGACCAGTGAATTCAATCTACCTAAAATAAACATTTAATAAAATTTTTGGTTTGATTATATATATGACATGATTTTAACATTTACCCCGATAACGCAGGATAAGAAAAGATGGTGTTTCTCTACCAGAAACGGTATCTGTGGGTTTGTGGACGATCAGGGCGGTTGTCCCGTATGCCTAGTAATAATAAAACTCCCGAAGGTGAATCGGAAGTGTCAAGAATCCGTAACTAGAACGACGGATGTGTGCATTACGGCTTATAATAAAACCTGTGCTAATCGGTATCTATAATATAAATTGTTATTTAAAGCTTTAAAGGATTGTTTAATCTTTTTTTTTTTAAACGTTACCCCCACACTAAGATTTTCTCTTGTATCGTGGAGGCAGTTTACAAACATAAATTGCACAAGGACAAACATCCAGACCCGGAACAATTATTTGCAGGCCATACAAATACTTCAATTATTTGTATGGCATGCTTGTTCCGTGCGGGATTCGAACCCGCGCCCCCCAGCGCAGCAACTCATTGCTCTGCCACTGCGCCACGGAGCCGTCAATCAACATAGTAGATCGCAGAAAAGATCGTTATATGAAAAATAAGTAGATACATCCCTCTAGTACTCCAAAAACCATCCAGTTGTTTAAAATTTACAATGTTTAAATAATAAAATACGATGCCATTAGATCTAATAGTAGAAGTATCATGCTGTATCTAGATGTTTCCGAATATCTATACAAACATAAAGCGGAAGAGGATTTTTGTTTATTTTGTTAGTTTGTTTAAAAACAACTGAATTACCTGTCCGATTTGAAAAATTATTTTTGTATATATAACAGTCAGATTCATGAGGATAAGCTAGCTATACCTCTCAGCTAGGAAATTTTCCTTCTAAGGAGACTTCCTCAATTTTCAAAAACTTTATTGCACAAAGTTTCTATTTTTATTTTATTTATTAAGATATACAAACAAATGTATAAAGATATTTTTACAAAAGTATTATCAAAAAATATACTATATATGTACATTCAACACCGTACAACACATATTAGTATAATAAGTTGAAGAGAAAAAGTTATATTCACAAAAAACTATTAAATAGTATAAAATAATCTTGCATGAATTAAATATTAAGTTTGTAATACTTGTAATTTGTTCGTAATATATTTTTAAAGCACAAATGTGAGAAAGTAAAAATATGAATATCGCTGAAATAGTCGGTATATGATAGCACTATGGTTCTTACTGCGGAACGAAGGCCAGATTAGTACGATATATATTTGTCATAAATAGTTTAAGGTAGTATTTCTCACAAATTAGTTGTGAACCATTTGGAACGTGATAGAAAATTTCATCAATGAGTTGAATACAGTCGATATCATTATGACATAGTTTATACAAATATAAAGCATTTATAAGTGTCCTTCTTTTGTAAAGAGGTGGAAGCGAAAATTTGTCTAATAAATGAATAAAACTTGAATACGAGCTGTGGTAGCATCTTGGCTGTGAATTTCCAATACCAAAAACAGAGAAAGTACTTGAATCTCTAAAGAAAGTTCCCACCAAAGAGACTGTCAAAAAAAAGAGTCTATTACCAAGATTAAATATTTTAAGCCACCTCTACTTAAATTGTATAATTATACTTTTAAAAGAAAGTCCCGCTGGGATTCTTTCCGGTTCTTCCCAGGACGAGAGTTTTATCTCCAAATCGTAAAAGTAAAAAATGCATTCAATAAGAATTACTTATATTGTAATCATTATTAAATAAAAAATATTCTAATCTATTTCTATTGCGTTTTCAATTGTTTCTATTAACGATACCTACGAAAGACAATATGGGTTGATATATTTTAATACGCCGCCACCATAGAGCTTTGTTTACTTATAAGATTCACAGAAAAAACATATTAGAATTATGACTTTTAATAAAAAGTAAAAACCAACTTCGTTTTGTTAAATAATAAGTTAAATAAGTTTATTTACTATCCTTAGGGGTGGTACTTTTCTCCAAATTGATATGGGACCACCCTTAAATTATAACCTATATAATAAAAAAATAATCATCAAAATTAGTTCACAATCTGCGAAGATATCGCGTAACATACATACAAAAAAAACATAACTTGAATTGAGAACCGCCTCCTTTTTTTAAAGCCCGTGAAAATAACACAATTTTTTATAGAATAAGGAAAAATAACGAGCAGACTGTCCACCTGATGGTAAGTGGATGCTGTGGCTCAGAGATATCTTCATATATATATTATTAATTAAGAATCTAAATGTAGATACTGACAACACATTTAGTATAACTTAACAAGATAATAGGTTACCTAGTTCTTGATTCGACACCAACTTTGAAGACAGAGATCTCAACGCAATAGTTGTTGTTCCGTTTAACATTTCCACGAGAGGATCTGTAGAAAAATATTTAACATTAGTTCTTAATAAACATTTCACTCAATGTAAAACATGCTGTGAAGACCAGTGTTAAATAGACCACAATAACAACGCGCATTGATTTAGTATTGATTGTAAACACAAAGTAGTATAATGCTACAAATAATAAAATATAAAAGACGAGGATTAAAGACTAGGTATAATATACAATGCAATCAATTTCATACCACCTAATATAACTACTCACGAATTCCTTAAAAATTACTAACTTATATAATTACAATAGAGGATTTTTAAATGTGATTGTTGGATTTCTTTCCCATCGGACTATGAGAGTGAGGAAATTGAGAGAGAACCTGTGCTTGCGCTTGTACAAGAGTGTGTTTGTGCACTATAATTCTCTCCTGCGCAGATGGGCAGTTACCGTTTAAACTGGCCAACGTTTCTGAAATTCGGCCTTTGGGACATTATTACTATTGATAATCGATTTAGATGACTATAAACAACAGTTATTTCTAGACACTGAATACACTTAGTCTAAATATATTTAATTTCTTTGTAGGTTTTCTGATAGGCATCAAATAGAGTAAATACAAGTCATACGGATTACGAAAACACGACTACATCACACAGTGGAGTGGCTCCCGAACTAGGAAAAGCTCTCTGCTATCCTCTACAATAATATCGTAGTTAAGATCGTCAGCGACCTATAATTACTAATAATACGTACACAGATAGACTTGATAATCTTGTATGGCAAACATTAACACCAAAGTGCCTAAAATCTTGCTGGCCATTGAAGTTATTCCTAAAATTGAATCGTGAGCTTTTAGTTTCTTGCTGAAAATGCATATTGCAAATATTGTACCTGTAACGAAAAAAAAAACATTAGTAAAACCAGAGTTAACTGAAGACCTATACATGGTAGAGCCATGTTTTAGCGTATTATATATTATGGCAGCAGCAGGAATTTGTTGGCCTAAACCTCTCTTGATGCACTACTGATTGAAGGCAGAAATACCTAATAAACTTCTAAGCAGAAAGAGAACCATTATCAGCCAGAAAACAGAATTCATTAAAAATTTATTATATTGAATTTATTTTTTATTTGCAAGATATTGATTTCCGTTTATTTGGAGGGTTCATTTCATTATTAGACTATACCTTTCTGATTTTATTATTAAACAGCAAATGTAAAATTATGTGGTGATAAAAATTTACGGGTAAACCACATTATCCCGGAGATAACTATTCCCTTGTCCTAAGTAGAATGTCTTTTGTAGTTTTCTAAGAAAACTAATATTGATCGTGAATTCTACTGAAGAGCTTAACGTAGCTATAACAAAAAGGGATTAGTTAAACGAAATTATTGCAGTTTGTGAGGGTCCGGTCTCGGATTCGGAAAGTAATTACAGAGGCTGCACACTTCACGATTATGCATGGTAAGCGCACTTAAAAGGCCACGCCAACCATGTTTCCGCGGCAAGTACAGCCTCATAATCGACGATCTCGAGTGATGCATCCTATGGGACGTCATAGTAGTGCGCACTTTTCTATCCAGGGCGTTAAGTTCAGTTTGAGTCCACCTAAATATTCCAAAGGTATATATGAGAACAGGCATGACCCAACCGTTATATACGTGTGTCTTATTCACACCGGACAAAAGTCTGTTAAGCACTTTGATCAAGCGTGCATAAAACATATCGCAACCTGACTGCCTCATACCCGCCTCATCGATACCGATTTTCTGTGACATACCCAGGTATCGGTATATTTCAGCCTCGGAAAGGATCCTTTTGTTGATGGGCATAGATAAGTCTATTCCCTCAGAAATAGCAACCCTTCCCTTTTCGACCTGGAGGACCGCACACTTATCCGTCCCCAGCTCCATTCTAATAGAATTACTAAAATCACAACTGATGTTTAGCAATTGCGTAAGATGGGAGCAACTGGAGGCGAATACTTTGAGATCATCCATATAGAAAAGGTGGGTCATTTTTGTACCTCCTTTCCGAAGCTGAAATCCCCTCCTAGAGTCCTCCAGTAAGGTACTAAGAGGCGTCAAGGAGAGGGAGAACCAGATTGGACTCAAACAATCGCCCTAGAAGATACCCCTTCTCCTCCTTAAATGGCTTTTCGCATCCATCACCTGCTCATCTAGATGACAAAGGATTGTACTCCACTGCCGCATACACTGCACGAGGAAGTCTATAACTGTACAGCTCGAGGACACTCTTTAGCCATGTATGGGGTACCGAGTCGAATGCCTTTCCTTTCTTTTGTCTATCCAAGTGGCGGAGAAGATCCAGCGGTTGCATTTAACCACTTTGCCAAAGACCGCATCAATGAGGAGTGGTTCCTTGGTTCCACGACTACCACCCCGACATTCATTTTGAGCACGCGATATCACCTGATTTAAATCCAGGTGACGAATGATTCGCGTACTCAAAATGAATGTCAGCGTCTTATATATGGTGGGTATACACGCAATTTGCTAGGGTCTGTGGAATCATGGTCTTTAGGAACCAAATGAGTGATCCCAGTAGTGAAGAGGATCGGGAACAATTTTTAGTCGAGAGTCTCTTGAAACTGTCGGGCGAGTACAGCGTAACACACCACAAACCCGTTCAGCCAGTAGTGGTGCAGTCCATCGAGTCCCAAACTTTTCTCAAAACTCAAACTCAAACGTTTATTGCTAAACCATAATGTACACAAGATGTTATAAAATAATGTGAGACCAGTGTTATGGACCCTGTTGGGCACGCAATTTAGGGGCTAGGAGAGAGGAAGCCTATTTAACTACTTATAAGAATTTATAATTATAACTACTTATAATTTTCCAGTTCGGGGCCCTACGGACCGCCTCAGCTACGTCATCTGACGTTATGATGATGGGTCCATTGGCGTAACACTCGCACACTGACTTGACACAACTTCCGTCCAAGGGCCCTTGCTGTGGTTTACGGGCTCTGACTTCAGGCCGCGCCAGAATGCGAGAGTGTCGGTCTGATTCGGTGCTGAGCCCGTTCTACGTACCATTGGTCGCTCCAATAATTTATAGAGCCTCTTCTGATCACCCTGGAAGAGATGATTCTGGTCTGCCCAAGCAGTGATTATCTGCTTCAAGTCGTCTATGCGCTCCGTCAATTTTTGCGTTATATCCGGCTGGGACAAACTGACATTTGTCCCAGCACACGCCATTCTGACGGTGCTCACAATTCTTGGCCCACTTTTGCCTGACCGGCAAGAATGTAAAATAATATTGTGCCAATATCGGCACATTAGTCTGCCGATAGGGGCGCTAGCCTTTGTTCCTCAATTCTTATTCTCCAGACTGGAATGGCGCTACTATGTCTAGTAGCAGGTCCAACCATGAGGAGCTTGGCGCCAATAAGGCTTACTACCAGTGCGGCGCCAAAATGAATTAAGTCCGTCTTGCAAAGGTCCCGGTTGGCTTAAAAATTGGTCACCAGCATTGGGTTTATAGACCTCACGACAGCCCAATTCCGCTTGCTTAGGGGTTAATACATAAATATATAAAAACCCAACCAGATGGAAGCTCGGCAGGGGAGACCAAACGGCCGAGGGTTAGGAGGAAAGGGAAAGAAACCGGCGGACGATGCGGGCGGTATCGAGGAGCACTGCCTTCTGCATTTGAGCTTGGATAATATTTAAATAATTATTATTATTATTACTATTATATTCCGATGGAAGATGGATAATGTTTGGAGGAGCAGAGAGGAAAACTGCTTCGCTCGATAATATATACGTTCTTAATCGATTTATTGGTAATTGTGATAGAGTGTGAAAAGTAGAGGCAGACTGCGGCCGTGCCACCGTATACACACTATCGTAGCAGTGCCCTTTACATACCTTCCGTAAAGCAAGCCCGGTATCGATTAGACGAACATAAATAAGAAATAAATGTCAAAGCGGTATTGGTTACATATTTACAGTTATTATTCACCATAATACGGCATATTTGGTAGATATATACCGGCTGAACTTAAGTAGATTTCATAGGGACCTTTTCAACGATATATTTTAACTAAGCAAAAAGAGTTGAACAACAAGAATTTTGTTATTATTTTAGGATTACCTCTTTGCTAGTAATAACTCTTAGGATAAATTGCAATTGAAAAATAGCCAACCAATTATTGGCAGTTAATCAGCTAACTAAATATATTCATTAGATAGTTGTTAGATATTTTAACTTAGGAATAAAGAATCGATTCTTGTGCTTGGATCTCATGGACCGATATTTATCCACGCCCGTACCGATAGAATAAACGCGATACGGCTAAAAATATAAGAAAGACTACAGTAAAATTATCTCGTATTTATACTGCCAATGGTAAATTTCACGGTGCGTTTTATGCCCGCTGCGCGTGCGGAACCGCAGCGAATAGTAAGACGTGTGCACATGGCAGCGTGGTCTTTACTGACAATTGATCCATTGCAAATGACTCGCCTTTCGCCCGCGCGAATTGTGATTATCTTCCACCAAATTTACGGGATTTACCACCTCCGTAGCGGCCAGGTATCCACAAAAAACTGCGGTCTCATCAGTTGTGAAATAAAGTCTCATACGGCTAAATAAATATCGCTCAGTGAGTTCTTAGTCTTAGTTCTATGTATAATCATTATAACATAATATATAAACTTACCAATAGAGTGCAGGATAAGACTATAAGTCGAGTATATGCTATATTTTATTTCATCCCAATTAAAGCGGAAACGGAAAAATATGTACATAATGCTTAGTTCACCTAAAAAAAAAAGAATTATTAGCAATTTAACCTGAATTAGTCGTGTAAATTTACTGCTGCTCTGCTACTTTTTTAACTTCTTTTTCAATGTACGTCATAGTAAGATATTCTGCAGTATTGTGGTGGCTTTTTAACAGCAATTATTTCTAGACTTTATAAATAGACAACTCAAGAAATGTGCTTACTCCTTTTTATAAGACCGGCATCGCACTTGCATTTTATTTTAGTATTCAGTGTAAGGATTATAATTGTACTGCGGTTTAGGGAATTGGTCCCCATTCAGCGTAAGCTGAAGATACCTTGGGCCAGCAAAACAGCATACTACATTCAAAATAACCAGAGTGCCATTTCAGAGTTAAATCTTTTATTATAAACAAAGGGGGTCATTGTAGAAGCGTGCTCGTCGCGACCCCTGCCAGCCCTTTTCAGGGCTGCAATTCTACTCAGCTGCGCACCCATGTCAACGAGGGTTAGGGCGTCCCCCCAAGGCGACGCACACCAGCTCGTCCCCGTTGGTGTGGAATGCAGCGCGCAAAGCGGCGATGGGGACCGCCACCCGTCACGCACAGCCCGACACGGCGGAAGGTGGAGGACGGAGTGCAGAGTTGGCACGTGGAATGTTAGAGGAGGCATGAGAGATAAGACGAATGAGTTGATCGAAATAATGAAAGAAAGAGAATTAGATGTCGTGTGTATGTCGGAGACCAAACGGAAGGGCAGTGGTACTGAAGAGCTCCCTGGCGGGGCGTTAGCTCTATGGTCCGGAGTCCCGGAGAGCGAGAACGCCTGCCAGGGAGTGGGGGTGCTGCTGTCTTCTCGGTTGGTCGATGTTATGACTGAATATAAGTTTGTGAACTCAAGACTTCTCTGGGTTCGCTTTAAATTGGGACTGACGAAGTTATTCCTTTTGGCTGTTTATGCGCCGGTGGCTTCGTCGTCCAGGGCTGAGCTGGAGGAGTTTTGGGAGAATGTAAGAGAAGTTCTAGATTTGGCTAGGGGAAACGAAAGGATTGTTGTATGTGGTGATTTGAATGGATGGGTTGGTACCGCTCGACCAGGGTACGAGTCGGTACTTGGAAAGTTTGGCGATAAAAGGGTTAATGATGCTGGCAAGCTTATACTGGCGGTATGCAAGGAAAAGAATCTTCTTGTGACAAACACTATGTTTAATCACAAGAAAATCCATATGTATACTAGAGAAAGAAAGAATGAGAGAAGTATGATCGATTTGTTCCTGGTGGATGACCGACTGCGAAAACAGGTTATGGATACGCGAGTGTTCAGGGGTGCTGACCTGGGAACGGATCACTATCTAGTGATTACTAGATTTAGGGGTCTGTTCGCGGGTTGGCGCTACCGGACGACAGTGACAGAACCACAGTCGGTCTGTCGCATCCGAAGCTGGAAGCTTCAGGAAGCGGATACTAGGGACAAATATCATGCGAGGGTAGCCGAAAAGCTTGACACCATCGATGGCAGAAACGAATGTGTAGAAAGAACATGGCAGAACCTTAGGGATGGAATGGTAAGTGCAGCGGAAGAAGTGTGTGGAACAATAAAAAGAGGCAGTAGTAAAAGAAGAGATGCATGGTGGAATGATGAAGTGAAAGAAGCTGTAAAGAAGAAGAAGAAAGCATGGTTAGACTACTTGGCCTCTAGTAATGATAAGGATATGAGAGAGAAGATGAAAGAAAGATATAAGCTGCAGAAAGTTCACACGAAAGCATTGATTGAGGAAGTGCGTGAAAGGTGTAGAATGGAAGCGGATGAAAGGTTGTCGCACAACTTTAAGGAGAACTCCAAACTCTTCTGGAAAGAGGTTGGAAGGACCCGAAGTGGTGCGACGGCCTTAAGAATGAACAAAGTGCTTTCGAGAACTAATGACGTCCTCTCAGAAAAATCGGACGTCATGCAGCGATGGAGCGAATTTTATAGAGAAATGTATGCGTGTGATGATCTTAGTGAGGGATCCGGAGATGACGCCGTGACTGGCACGCCAGACCCGGACCTCGATGACACTGAGGTCATCAGTATGAAAGAGATTGAACGTGCGATTCGAAGTTTGAAATGTGGTAAGGCTGCGGGACTAGACAGAGTTACTGCTGAAATGGTCAAGTATGGTGGGCCTCGCGTCTGGGACAGCTTTCATCTGCTGTGCAATTTGTGCTGGCGGACGGGGGATGTCCCGGATGATTGGCGATCCGCAGTCATTGTGCCTTTATATAAAGGTAAAGGTTCACATTTTGACTGCGGGTGCTATCGGGCGATCAGCTTGACCAGTTTAGCAAGTAAAGTTTACTCGAAGGTTTTGACACGTAGGATGCAAGAGAAATCGGAAAGATTTCTATGGGAGGCACAATGCGGATTTAGACCTGGAAGAGGATGCACGGATCAAATGTTTTCTCTCCGTATGATCACGGAAAAGCTTCTGGCTGTTAACCAGAAGATTTTCTGTGCTTTTGTGGATCTTGAGAAAGCATTTGATAAGGTTGTAAGGAAGAAAATGTGGGAACTGTTGCCGGGGTATGGTGTGGATGGCCGATTGCTAAGGGCTGTGCAGTCTCTTTACTGTGACTGTAAAGCCTGTGTGCGGGTAGGGCATGACCTGTCACCCATGTTTAGCGTCCAAACGGGCGTAAAACAGGGTTGTGTCATGTCTTCCTGGCTGTTCATACTGTATCTCGACAGCTGTTTACAAAAGCTGAAAGATAGCTGTTTGGGTGTGAAATTGGGTGACATAAAAGTAAATTGTCTGCTGTATGCTGATGATGCAGTGCTTATTGCACCATCAGAGGCAGAACTGCAGGCATTAGTCACGTGTATGAAAGAGGAATGTGAAATTAAAGGTCTCCGTTTGAATGCTAATAAAACTAAGGTTCTGGTATTTGAAAGGGACGAAGAGAGAACGAAGTGTGAAATATGGGTAAATCAGGAATGTCTAGAACAGGTAAATGAAATTGTATACTTGGGGAGTGCTTTTAGCCGGGATGGAAGATGTGATTTAGATGTGGACAGGCGTGTCGCTGCCGGGAACAAAGTCAATGGTGCCCTGACTGCGTTAGTCAAAAGGCAAGGCGTAGCGAAGAGTGCACGCCTTGCAATACATAACGCAGTGTTGGTACCGACTTTGTTATATGGCAGCGAAACCTGGGTATGCCAGAAGAAGCATAAAAGTAAGTTGAATGCAGTGGAGATGCGATCTCTTCGTAAAATGTGCGGCGTTACCATGGCCGACCGAAAGCGAAACGAAGAGATTCGCAATATGGCAGGTTTGAAAGATGACCTTATCACAAAAATTGATAAGGGCGTGCTTCGGTGATTTGGGCACGTTGAGCGAATGAGTGAAGACCGAATGGTGAAGAAAATATATAGCGCGAAAGTTAATATTAAAAGGTGTCGAGGTAGACCGAGACTAACTTTCGAAGACCATGTGAGCAAATTGCTCGAAGAGGGTAGGGTCAAGAGTACTCGGATACCTAGACGTGCATGTATGAAGAAGATAATGAATCTGAAAGAAGCGAAAGAGATATGTAAGGATCGTGACACTTGGCGATCTGTTCTCTCTGGCTACCCCGTCAGGGATTGTGCGTGAAGATAAGTAAAGTAAGTAAGTAAGTATAAACAAAGGGTTGTATTTAAATAGTGCCATCTCAATACACGGATGTGTATATATTAAATAGTTAAATACGTTTATATTTAAAAAAAATTGCAGAAAAATAGTTGACAAAATTATTAGAAACAAGTTTATTACTTTTCTATGATTTTTCAAATAAAAATGTATTTTAATTAACGCCGCAGAAAAACCAAACATTTTTAGGAATATCATATGACAAATCATTTTACTATATTCAAGTGTTGCCATTTACTATATTCATACTATTTTCGTATACACTTTGTAAGACTACATACACACCATATAAACACACAATATTTTTATATTAAGTTATTATTAGTAATAACTATACTATCAGAAATAATTAAAATAAAAGTGATATGATTGAAAATAAGTCTCTTACAAAGAACTTCCTACAATAATATATTATCTCAATCATAGTACTATGTAACAATTCCATTTAATGTTATGGTAACACTAGCTAAAACAAAATGTCACTGCTTTTTACTGGCTTTACGGCTCTGAGTTCTAGCTCTTTTAGGAATGTCACTGTATGACACAAAAGCCTTGGAGCCATGCCAGAAATATACATTTATAGTATGCAAATATATATATACGTGGTAGAGCCATGCTGCAGCTATATAGTACTATAATTGTAGCAGGAATTTGTCGGCTCGACCGGGGAAGGACCACGCTCTCACAGAATACCAGCGTCAAATAGCAGCTTAGCACTGCTGTGTTTCGTATGGTGAGTGTAGATAAACGGAGACCCTTTTTACTGGAAAAGAGGCATTCCATCTCAGTCCTCACGGGTGGCAACGCATCTGCAGTTTGATTCGCAAAGGAGGATCAATGTAGATGTCTATAGGCCACAGCAACCACTTACCATCAGGTGGACTGTGTGCTCGTTTGTCACCCTATACTATAAAAAAAACAGAGACAATAATCTAAAAACTCTCAATTATCTAGGTAGGTACATTATGTTGACAATGTGTTAAGCTAACATCAAACAACCACAGGACGCATGACTTTTTCCAAGTGACATAAGACACTAATCAATCTCATATCTTTTTAATAATATATAATGAAACAAAATCTAAATATCTTTTTTATGCCTTATCAGGACAAAATTCTATGACAGAGTTATTAAGGAACTGACGCTTAAAATTTTAAATAATTTGTTATATATAGACGCTATGTACCATTACTTCTCAACTAATTTTATGTATGAAAGTCTGCCATTGTTCTTTATATGAAAAACTAAAACTATAAAAGTAAGAAGAACGTGTCTTAAGTAGCAGTCAAAGAGTATAAAATACTACAGCGTTCTACGAAATACCATCTATATCTTTTACACGGGACCTGAGAGATTTAATTATTATTTAAACATTAACTTCGCTAACTATTCATAGTTTAAATGATGACGTGGTGAACCGATGGTATTTATAGAATATAAGTTCATTTATTTTAATGTATTATCTACCGGCTATTAATGCGATGGACATCTCTTAAAGTCGGAAGCAACTTAATGTTATTTTTGTTACAAAACGATAAAAAAATTTAAATTTTTTCATAACGCTTTTAGTAAAGGCAATTGACACAATTCTCTTTAAAGTCGTCATCATTTTGATTTAAGATATATACTATGAGCCTCATCATCTCGAAGTTTTCTTACAGTTTTTGAGTTCCAGGGAAACTTTGATCCTTTCTACATATATAGATTTCTTATGATTTCATGTTTATCATACAATATAATTATTTATTATTTAAGGACAGTATCCGCTCTTGTCTTATTGAGCGTAGATCTCAGTTAAACAATAATCAAAATCTACGTTTTACTAGGTTATTTTTATAAATAACTTAAATTAAAAAAAAATTAAAGAGATTTCCTTGAAACCAAGCTAAGAATACTCTCGATTGAGACACCTTTTAAACATCTTAAAAAAAATTAAATCAATTCCTATTCACCCGTTCAAGAGCTATGATGTGTGGCATCCAGATACACAGATACACACTACAAACATATAATACCCCTCTCTGTTCTCGTCGGGGGTTAACAACAGTAATAATATTAAACTTTGTAATTATTTGTATGTGAGAGCAATACTTATCATATTATATCATATTTTATCAAGACAGAATATTTGCATCAATTGTATACCTATTGTCACACTGACTATATTTTAAACTCTTGAAAATTCCATCGTTAATTTTGCTATTATATGTACAGTTTTCGGATATTCATATCCGACATATGTAATTAATTAAGAATTATTTAAATAAGGACAAGGTTTTTTTTAACTTTATTCCTGCAAGCGTTTTAGAAATAAATAAAAAATCACTACTACTATCAAAACACAAGCAAACGAGATTTATTTGTCTTTACTGCAGCAGTGAAAAGGCTACAACGTGGCTATGATTTTCTGTTGCTCCCATCATAAAACAAAGTTTTATGAGAGTTGGAATCACGACCACGATTTCTTGTTTTATATTATATGTAAATGAAAAAGCAAATTAAATAAGGGCATGCAAGATAGAAACAAATATTTAAAAAATCAATAAAATTTTGATGAGATAATTACACTAAAAGTATTGAAGGACCTAAAACACATCATAAGATATGAAATGGCAGTTTTCCGCAATAACCGTTTATTAACGGGTCTACGGTAAAATGGTCTCCGGTTCTTTACACTCACCATACGAAACACAGCAGCATTAAACTGCTATTTTATGCTGGTTTTCTGTAAGAGCGTGTTCCTTCCATGGTTAAGTCGAACCATTCGTGCTACATCCATAATATAGCTGTTCCATGGCTCTAACACGTATAAGTACTTATAATTTTGAATCACTAATTAAGCAATAACAAAAAGTAGAATCACATATCTATACGAAAAATTCCTATACTTTCAGGAAGAGAAAAAACTTGCACCATTGATGCTTTGGCGCCTAGTATTTGTGTTTCGAGAAATATAGTCACAATATTTTGTTTAAATTATATAGGGAATCGGTTTCTTTCATTTGAAAGTTAATCCAAGAAGACTTATTTAAAATTTTTCAAGATAAAAAAATAGGGATTATTTTTGCAGGCGTTTACAATACGGGAGTGCAGAATTTCGCAATTTTTAGACACTAATATTACGTCACGCGCTCCCACTCACTCGCAGTAGACTTCCGAGTGCCTGTTTTCATATTGCCAAATTGTCTAAATATTGCGCGCATTTCTAAGATCTGAATGCTCTACCTTTACTTCATAATTGGTCGCGCAAACGCTTGTTCCATGCAGGAATCGAACCCGCAGTCCTACAACGCCGCAATGAAAAGCTAAGTCACCACGATACTGAGCCGTTTGTGTTGCTGACAATTAAATATTGGAATAATTTAATATATATAATTTTGTATGTTTTTATAGAGACGTGGTAGTTCCAGGATAAGGTCTCATATTAAGTATGTCAGCATCGTGGCGGACTCCTTGTTTCAAAGCCCTCTTAAAATCAAAGGTGCAGCCGTGGAACTGTTTACTTTAATATGTAATATGTTTAATATAAATAACATAAATATAAAATAAATGACGTACCCATTAGTGGACCATAGTGTAAGCAAACACAAATTAGAAGAAGAAAAAGTTTTAGCCTCCTATTACTTCTTCCTTTCTTGTACAATATTCCCACAGTTTCTTTGAAACTGTTCAAGTCGAAAAATTCTAAGAGGAAACCAATGAAGCCCGTACGTCTTTTCTGAAAAATAAAAATTATGTTATTATTTTATATTGCTGAAAAACACGTAAAACAACGTAAAGTATTTAAAATAAAACTAACTTTTTCTTTATTTTCAAGCCACCTATGGTCTTCTATACCGAAATACAGGTAGCAGAAATTAAGTATATGTATTCCAGCCGCTATGCTAAAAACACCATAATACCCAAGATATTTCAATATAACACCACTAAAACCCATTCCTATGGGATAACCTATTGTCAGGCATAGATTTAGAATTCCTAGGCGGAAAGTTCTGGTCTTCTTAGACGTAATATCGCATAAATAGCTAAACGCCCCAAGGTACATTGTATACCATCCGCCAGTTAAAGATGGAAAAATTAAGTCTATTATCACGGTCCATTCCATCGATATTTGATAGAAGAAATACGTATTTATAATATTTAGTATGCAGGTCATTAATTCCGCAAATATTGGAATAAGCATGCATATTTTTCTTCGTCCTGTCTTGTCACTCCATGCTCCAACGAAAAGAATTAACAATGTCGCCACACTCGTATTAACAATGCTCTTCCACGCTTGTATTGAAGCTACAAGTTTCTGTACTTCTATCTCCTCAAAAGTATGATTGTCAATATTCCTAAGTTGTAAATCCATACACACTTTATCACTGTATTGTAGATTTACTCTGCACGCTTTGTCTAAATATAGGTTTTGGGCAGCAAGCAATGATAGAACACTGGGTACCATAAAAAGGATCACTATTGGCTCTACAGTTATATTAGACTTCAAATATTTCATTTTCTGCTTCAGTGGCAAGGTTTTTAAATCAATATCTTCTGAAGGCTTATACAATAACACTTTTGCAGACTCTTCAACATGTTTCGGCTTTTTCTTTTCCATTTCTAATATCTTCTTATTTCTTTTATAATGTTTCTTTTTACTTAGCTTTATGCAATCATATTTTCCTAATACTTGCACTTTTTTTATAATATAAAAATTACGCTGAATTCCAGACAGTTACTACCGACTAATTAAAATTTGCCGTCTATTGTTAGATTTTATATGAGTTTATTTCTTTTGTTTAATATAAATTGAAAAAAATGTTTGCCAAAGAAACAATTCGTGAAATAAATTTAATGTGTCCTATATCGCGTTTAAATATTAGGGCCTAAATAATCTGAAACTGACGATTTCGCAAAATTTAACAAATAAACTTGAATAAGAACACCGTTTAATTTTTTTTTTCTACATCTTTTATCGACAAAACACAAAACAACTTTTTTTTATTACTCTAATCACACTAAAAACGTTCATCACTATGCTTCTTAGTTTTAATTGTCCACTTCTTCAACTTGTTTAGTATCTTCTCTTTGTTCGAAATACATCCACCTGAAAGATATTATCGGATAAGTCAATGCTATAAGAAAATAATTGACGTGAATGATTCCAACGATTTTAACATTAAAACTAAAAAATATATATATTGTAACGAGGGATTACAAAGTTACAGTAAAAAAGTTTAAACTGATCCGATGTAACGTCGTGTTTAGAGATAATCTATATATATAATAAATCTGTAGAAAAGTCATGTCTGTAGTCTATTAATTTCTGGAAAAAATAAGCCTAAGGTACTAAATTATGGACGCTGAAGTCAAATTAATAGGTTTTAGAGTTTTTGTCTTTCTGTTAGTCTATTCACTATACACGCAAAAAATTATGAAGAAATTTAGTATGTACCAGTATCCGACTACTAAAATGCTAAAAGGGAAGATTATATCTTCTCCTTTCCTTAAATCTTTATTTCCATAAACAGCTGCTGATGAGTGAATAACGCGATTCACGATAACGATATTCACCACTAGATGTACTATCAGTGGCAACAGTATTAATTTGTTTATTCTTTATTACATTCCTTAATATAAAAGAATACAAAGGTTGAACTTAATGCCTTGAGGCATTCTCTACGAGTCAACCCATGGAGTGGTAATAATTTCACGTATGTGTAACAATATAGAATAAAAACAAAATAAAAATGATAATTAGCTACGTAATATATACATTTATATATATATATATATATATATATATATACATATATATATATATATATATATATATATATATATATACTTACATACAAATAGTACATATAAATAACTATGAATATATGCGTCTGTTAAAAATACAAATGACATGAATTATTCATGTAATAAGCATTATCTTTAATAGATGATTACGTACCAACATTTTAAAATCAAACATATTGGGAGCTTTTCTGATGTCATCAGGCAAGGAGTTCTAAGCCTGAACTGTAAAGGAGTTACCACAGAACTCGGTGAAGTGAACAGGAACACATATTTTGTTGTTAGAAGAAGAACGTAGAACCCTATCATGAGATGAGGAGAGATAGTGAAATGTACTCTTAAGATAAGAAGGCAAAATGGGTAATTTAATATGGAAAAAATAACAAGTAATATTCTGGAATGATACAGTACTGCCTACTAAGTCGAGCTTCTCAACTACTTTGAATTAACGGTCGTGCCTTCGCAGCTGAAGGTGAGAGCTGGAGTTCCAGTTGAACTAAAGCTTAACCTTGATGTATCAATATTATGCAACGGCACCATGCTGCGCGTCATAAAGCTTGGAAGAAGTATTGTAAAGCTAAATGAGAGTGTTTTTCAATTTCCCACATTCTGATTATTTCAATTAATTCACCATTTCAATTTAAAAGACTACAATTCGCGTTAAAGTTAGCACCATTACATACTCTCAGAATCAGACAAAGTAGTAGGTACATATACATTTGGGCACTACTTGCTTTTTGAATGGTCAGACTTTTTGAAATGATGCCTGTTTAAAAAATTCTGTAGCGCACGAAGCCGCGGGCAACAGCTACAGGGCAATAAACATCTTTATCTTCTATTTCCGTTATATTATTATGTTGCTTTATGCTAAGTAGCAACTAGTTTTAAAATATACTTTATTTATGTCTTTTGTTTATTACTTTGGAATATTCAATAACATTGTAATGTACTGTTACATCTGTGGGTCACCTTGATAATATGAATAAATCGCCAAAGTTTTCAAACCTAAAGCTATTTTTGATTTGGAGAGCTGTATTATATTATTTAGTTAAACGCTGAAAGTAAAACCTGGGTTAACTGTGACATCAGTACAAACACTTTAGTCCCCCGTGGACATGGGTGCTGTAAAGCACCCGAAAAGCGGAGATTTAAAAAAATTAAATAAAATGTGAAAAAATCCGTAAAATAAGTTTTAATCAAATGTAGTGCTTAAGTTTTAAAGTATTTAAACTATTAGTATAGTTTTATCAGAATATTTCCTACATGTTTACGCGTCCGATATCTACCCATAGGAGAAAAGATTCGCTGTAAAAGTAACATTTTTCAGATAGATGGAAGATCGAAAATTATATATATCTTTATTGATTTTTCGTGCAAACAAATCTTTATAATTATTATTATCATCGTATCGATTGACAAGAAGTCCGTGCTCGGAATCGGACGCGCCCTAATTGCTCGCACGAATTTCTTAATTCACCCTAATTGGGGTGATCACCGCTGCTGCCCTAAGCAGCATATTTCTGATTACAACGCAAAATAATAAAAACTGCGAAATTCCTCTTAAGAGGCAATATGTGGGGGAGACTTGTGTTCAGGTTTGAACTTGTAGGTATTTTAATTATTGAATTTAAATATTTTATACAAGTTTTTTTTTATTATTTATATTAAAGTTGTTTGACATTTTATCCTTTTCTAAATTTCTGTCCATTATTTATGTATTCTACTTGACATACATTTATTTTGTATACATATGGTACATCTTTTATTATTCTATTTCGCATGTCTGAAAACGAATTATAAGATTAGTTATTATGTGAATGCGTTTTGGAACACTTTCTTAACATCGTTTAATGGGTAGGTGATTTTTGCATGACACTAAATTGTTAAGATAATTTAAAAATGTTGAACGTCGAAATGAAATATATTTTAATGTTCATTAATTTTGTGCAATTATAATTATCAATACAGTTAGTAATTTGATTCCAAATGTAATAATAAAGATTTATTAGTGCTAGCGATGTTCTTAAAACCATCATAAGCACTCGAGGTAAATAAGGTAAAAAAATAATCTTTCTTTTTTTTAATAATCGATTCGTACTTTTCAATGCTAATCAAGTATCAAAATATAAAACTCAGTAAATTACTAACTACTATCTCTAGGTTGCGAGATTATCATTAAGACACTTTTACAGCAGCTCAATTTATTGTTATTATGTATTCAACCTTCCACTAAGAGTAACATCCTTATTATGCATACAGGAAAAAAACAAACTTGCCAATATTAATTACAATTACAATTATTGTAATTGTAATGTATTCAACCTTTCACTAAGAGTGACATCCTTATTATTCATGCAGATAAAATCTTGCCAATATTAATTACAATTACAATTGTTGTAATTGTAATGTATTCAATTCAACCGTCCACTAAGAGTAACATCCTTATTATCCATACAGGAAAAACCAAACTTGCCAATATTAATTACAATTATATAAATATATCTTTATATATAAAAATACGAGTCACACGATGAACTCCGAAACTACTGAACTGATTTCAATGAAATTTTGCACACTGTGTGCTGTTTGGTCCAAATTGAGAGATAGGATAGTTTTTATCCCCCTCCCCCTTTAAAACACTATAGTCTGCGTCTAACATGTAATACCTATATTAAGATTTGGTGACTAATTAGTGACTTTCATTAACCCAGATTGAAAAAGATCGCTCCAACAAAACTGGGATTATTTCAAATCCAGGTAAATTAAAAAAATATTCACTAATTCACAATTATAATATCTCATGGTCCGATGCATGCATTCAGTATGTATGGCTGAGCGCTGCGCGCTCACCGCCCTCTATCGCAAAAACGGCTGAGCGCATGAAAAAATGTTTCATATAAAATCTGTCGCAAACTTTATGCTCTACAATTTTTATTATAGATGTTAACATCATTGGAGCATTAGAAACCGAGATAATAGCGAAAACTGTTTTTTCCCTTTGACCTTAAATGACTTACGACGCAGACACAAGTTTTAATTAGACTTTTGAGACAAATTGTAGAACGCCAAATTGTAGAACGCCTCTTTTTTGCTAAAGTGACTGGATTATCATATCAATGCCATCATAACGGATCCAATCTACAAAAAAATTGAAACAGAACTAAAAAAAAACCTATCTGTCAAATTCCCCTACAATTTTTCGTGTCAGCCGCGTCACGGTGTGATACATGATTTTTATTATAAAAATGAAAACATTTTGTGTAAAATCAAATGTTTTGTATTCAAAACATTCACAATTGAATATGTTATATGTCTACGTGGCATTTCAATAATTATGTTTCACCATTAAATGTTGGTTGGGGGCACCGGAGGAGATACGATGATATTTTTGAAGTAAAAATATCGTTACCGTTACAGAATACCGTTACAGTGTTCGCGTAAATATAAAGTCCACGGCTGAACATAGTTTTTTTTTTTTAGACGTTATTAGGAAGAAACTGCTGCCCATCTTCTGGTTTGTTTCCCTCTGTTGCATTTTACGACACCCACGGGATCACATGGAAGTTTTTATTTTAAGAAATAAGGGCGACAATCGAGCACACAGCCCACCTGATGGTAAGTAGATGCTGTGGCCCATAAACATCTACATCTATCCTCAATTAAGAATCAAAATGCATATGCGTTGCACCCTTGACGTCTAAGATGAAATGCCTCGTTTCTAGTAAAAAGGGTCTCCGATCCTCTACACTCACCATACGAAACTCAGCAGCAATAAGCTGCTATTTTACGCTGGTTTTCTGTGAGAGCGTGGTCCTTCCCCGGTCGAGCCATTCGTGCCACAACTATATTAATAATAGCTGCAGCATGGCTCTACCACGTTAAAATAAAAGTAACAAGATTATATTATTATCTAAAAATTTATCAATTAACATACGGAATTAATAATATTATTCTACGGAACGTTGTCCTGTAGGTAGGACCCAGAAACCATGACAGTTTTTATTAGATTGCAGACATTTGTTCTTCTATGCGTTTCCACTAATTCCTACGCTGTCGTAAAATGCTGTCAAAAATTTAGTTTATTAAAGTGTTGAATTATTCACTTTTAATAATATATTATTATCGCATATATCTAACTTCAATATTTTTTACAAAATAAAATAAATTGAAATTTTGCCATACATTGATATTATAATTGGCACCCCTCTCTTCAAACATCTACAAGTTGCAAAATCGTCTTGGACAAGGAGAGAGTATAAGTAAATGGTTCGTTCTTCAGGCCGCGCGCCCCGAGTAAAGTTAGCC